AAGCCTGCACGAGTTCAAAACTCCACCGGAGTCTTCATCTGCTGCGAATTCTCCCGTCTTACCAGCGAAAACTGTTAAAAATGTGGAATTTGCGAAATCATCAACTGAAGTTCCAGTATCTGCTCCATCCGCAGCTTTGCCAGAAAATGGAGAAAGAGAGACACCGCAAAAGGCTGGACCAGTTCAAGATGTAACTCCAGCAACTATCCCACCACAAAAACCACCAGAAGAGGTGAAAGTTACACAAATTGAGCAAGCAAGTACGAAAATGCATCTTGTTATTCCATCACATATTCAGGAAGTTGCAGAAGAACAGAAGAACAAGATTGAGCCTTACCTTTCAACCGTGATTCGACCTGTGACACCTTCTGGTCTCCTTCCTACACCTACAGTCATACCCAAAGACACAGTGTCTACGCCAAAGCAGCAGACAAAATCTCCAGCTGTACTTCCATCAGCAGTTTTAGTAACCGAAAAAGAAGGAAAGCAGAAGAAAACATTGGAAGCAATACCGTCCACTGTGGGCACCGTAGAACAAGAGCAATCAAAGATTACGAAACTGCCTCAATTACAAGCAATCCCAGCAATTCCTTCTACTTCAGTAAGTGAAGAAGAGAATGAGCCGCATAAAGTTGAGTTTGATGCTCTAAAGGAGGCAAGGAATGTAGTCACTGCAACTACTCGTCAAATCGTGAAGAAAGAAAAAGTGACGAACTTGCCTATGCGAACTGTTAGTCCTACTATTCCTTTACCAAGCAGGGCAGAAGAAGAGAAACCGAAAGAAACTAAAGTACCCGTCTCACCTGCAGTATCAGTTGTAACGCCACTAAAAGAGCCTGCACCAGTTTTTGCTATTCCTGTTAGTCCTACTATTCCTTTACCAGGCAAGGCAGAAGAAAAAAAGCCGAAAGAAACTAAAGTACCTGTCTCACCTGCAGCACCGCCACTCAAAGAGCCTACAAAAGTTTCTGCTATTAAATCCGTTGCTCTGCCAGGGAGCGCAGAAGAAGAAGTGAAACCGAAAAAAGTTGAACTGCTTTCTACACCTTTCGTGCTGGTTGCCGAAAAGAAGCATACGAAGCCGGATAGTGAACAAGGAGCAGATTCGACATTTCGGTACACAATCCGTTCTGAAGGATCACAAGAAAGCGAAGAAGAAGAAAAGCC